TGGTATTAATGAGGAAGAAGGGAGCTTGGGTGGCCTAGGGGGGGTCTGGAGATGCACTGCCTACCAAAGGCCAACCCTCCCTGGTGATTCAAATCCATCAGCAGCTCTAAAGGAGAAAGATGGGCAGCCTCCTTCCATGCAATTTATAGTCTTTGACTTAACAGTGATGAGTTAAAAGAGTTAGCAAATAAGAAGACACTCTGCAGTGAAATATATTCCCCACGGATGAGAATGCTGTGTGGTGGTTGTGGTATCTTTCCTTGCTTTTTGGCCAAAGCATCGTCCAAAAACCGAAGTAGCATTTTAGTTACTTAGCTCTGTGACTCTTATTTAGCATGATGATAGGAGTTTACCACCTTAAATAAAGCGGTGACGTTGTAGTTGCATTGCTGACTCAAAGTCTGCATGCTTCTAGTGGTTCAAATCCACCAGTGGCTCCGTGGGAGAAGGATGGGCAGTCTCCTCCCATTGATTTACAGCCTTGGAAACCCAGTGGAGAGTTGCTGTGTCAGGACCAAATCGACAGCAGTGAATGTGAGCCTTTAAATAAATTCAAGCTTATAGAAACTATTTAATTCCTGGTAAACCTAAATTCTCCTGGACTCTTTTACAAAGCTGGAGATGGTTGAGGGCCCATGGTTGGCTCAGTCAGTTTGCATTTGATGGAAGAAAGGCTTGTGGACCTGCTTCCATAAAAAATGACAGGTAACAAAGCCTGTGGAGCAGGCCTATCATGTGTGGGGCATCCCAAATCACAACCAAACTATATGTGTTGTCACTGTATAAAACACCATCTGCAAAATCAGCCCATGCTTTAAAATTGTATCTTGAAAGGAGAGGTATGGGATTCCACATTCAAACAGAATTGCAAATACCAAAACTAGAAACACCACCCTCACTGCCATCGAGTCATTCCAACTCATAACTGCAATTCTGTCTGACTCAATGAGATCCTAAATAACCAAGTAGAACTGCTCCAAGTTTCCCAAGTCTGTATGGATCTTGTCCCCCTCCACCCCCACGATTTATTGAACAATTCATCTCTCCCCGCCACCTTCTCTTTTTCCTTTGAAATACTATGTTCTAGCCTTTTTTTCTGGAGGTTTTTTGTTGTGTGTGGTTTTTTTACCACTTGTTTTTACTATAAAAATAATATACTCAATGAAAAGTAATTATACAAGCACAAAAAATAGTGTGCAATTAAAAAAAGGCTCCTTATCAAGAAGTGGACTGCCTAATTTTTCTCACATGGAATGGCTAGTGGGTTTGAACTGCCAACTCTGAAGCAAATGATAAAGAGTTCTTTTTACTACTGAGCTACTGGCGCTCTGTGATCTAGAAAATACTAGACCTTCATTCTAGGAACCACAGCTATATAACAAGGTGTTTGCTCCTCCGGCTGGACTGTGCTTACACTGAGGCTTCAGAAGATCTCAAAAAGAGTTACCCAGCACCGCTGGGTCCAGCAAGATACCAGTGGAAGATGCAGTTCTTGCCACCTGGGGCCAGCCCAGAACAGGTAGCAAGTGGCTTGCCCACCTCCTCCAAGGATCTGTCCCTTCCTGAAGGAGGCCTGTGTCTACGGATTCTTCTGTATCTGTGATTTCCTCTCTGTGTCGTCCTGCCTGTCTCCACTCATTCTGACACATGCCCTGAGCCCTGTATGGATAGCACACAGCTCCCCACCTGTACACTGTGGGCAGGGCCCCTGCTGTTGAGTTCTCCACCAGTGGCGCTTGTGAGTAGCCTCTGTGAACCTGCCTGTCTCTGCTTCTACTACTCCCTGTCCCGTTGTTCTTCATTGGGAATGACCTGTCCTACTCTCCATTTGGAAACCAACCATTTCTGGTTTTAATCTGAAAAAAAAAATTCTACAGCCCTGTCTCTCTGCGCCATCTCCAAAGCCTGCCCTGCTTGACGTCCCAGAGGCGAGTCCTCATCCGATGGAGGTGCTGCTGTGGTAGAGACTCTGGTTTCTCCTTCCGGGCTGTAGTTCCTCGTTCGCCCTTGAATGGCTCGTCCTGCTCATTAGCATCCAGGCCTTTCCCTCTTCTGTAGTTAGCAAATGCTTTGGCATCTGCCTCAGTGGGCCCAGCACTGCAGACTTGGTCCATCTGTGTGGAAGAAGGCCTTCCTTGTGGCTTGGTGCTGTCTCTTTTGAGAGGGTCCTGTACTCCAACAGCATCTTCCTGCCTGAGCTTTGTGAGTCTGTAGAATGTTAGATGACACTTTTTCCGCATTCCTCTTTTTTTAGTGGCCGACTCTTCTCGCTTGCTCAGTCAAAGCTGCTTTGTTTTGTTGTATCAAAGTCTTCTCTCAAAAGCACTGCCCTAGGCTCTGGGGCTTTCCTGTCCTCAAAGCTTCTTGGTCTCATTCAATTATCTCCAGGGAGAGGCAATTTAGATCCTGATATGTGGTCACCTGAGAAACAAGGTAAGTGCAGTGGCTTAACTGGAGACCCTCCCCCCAACTTAGAACCTATCCTAATTACAGTGAAGGGCACAACTATCCATTTGAATCTTGGAGACACATATCATTAACAGTATGTTCTGCAAGCAATGTTGCAGTTATAATTTGCTGATGTTATCATTCCCAGATGTTCACTTGCGATTGTTCAATGTTATGATTCACTGTTCTGAACACCACAATAGAGCAAGATACGGAAACTGAAAAGGGGAAACAATGTCAACTTTACGTCAGAATGGACTTACAATGGAGTCACTAGAGGGAAGAGCCTGTGCTGTCAGGGACTATGTACGTGTATGTGTTTGTTTTTAGGGCTTGGCACTCTAGTGAACAAGAAGAGTTGGACTCTTCAGATAAGCCACGAAGCTACGTGATTCACTTTTGAGAAATGTCCCTTCTCTGGGGACCTTGCTTTCCTCAGATTTCCTTTGGGTCCCTAAGACCACAGAGAGAGCTCTGGTGGCCTAGTGGTAAGAAGTTGCACTGCAAACCCAAAGGCACAGGGTTTGAATCTACCAGCTCTGTGAGAGAAGGATGGGCAACCTCCTCCCGTGCAGTTAACTGCCTCTGAAAACCCTCTGGAGGGGCGGCTATGAGCCAATTTGACTCAGCAGCACACAACAAGATCACAGCATGAAGAAGACCTTCTGTCCACAGTTGGACTGTTCAGTGGTGTGGGACTGTTTGGCTATCTGGATGTCAGAGGTGTCTGTGAAAAAGGACGGCTTTAGAAACTGTCCTGCTGGGACCTCAGCCCAGCGTTCAGCTCACTGGCCCTGTCCTCATGTGGTGCGGGCTAGTTTGCACCATGGTGTCTGGAGCTCTAGTACAAAGAATAAAAGTGCATTGCAGCAAAGCACTTGGAAGAGAGACCACAACTTTCTTAAAAAGTTCCTGAGGACCAAGGTCCCTGGGTATGTAAGAGAAAAAAAAAAATCAAAACTCTACTGTGCAGAGGCCCCTACCCACTGAGGGCAAACACTGCTGCTCTCTCTCCAGGAGGCACTCACATCCCAAGAATCTGTCCATGCCACAGACTGGCCTCTGTGTTCAGTTTATGAGATGAGGTCTGGACTGTGAATCTGGCCCCTGGAAGCCACTCCCTCTACCACTGAGTCCTTGGGCTGCTCCTAATGGCAGGAGAGGGCAGGACAGATGGGCCACATGGGTGTTTACACTTAGCTCTTTCCACACCCACCCTGCTCATCCTCACCATAGCCTGGAGACCCTTAGTGGAGCCAGAGCCTGAGAGGAGCCGTGGACCAGCAAGGCTCCATATGAGGTTGTAGAAGAGGAGGAGAGGAGATGAGGCAGGGCTCATGGCTCCTGGGGGATCAGTCAGACTCTGGTCATAGGATGAGAGAAGCAGGTGACCAAAACTTCCCCTGTTCCCTCAGGCCTGGTTCCCAGGGGTGCTGGGCACCCTAATTGTGGACAGGGCTCTCCCAGGGTCTTTATAACGATGCTGACTATATGGGTGACCGACTCTGCTGCTCGTCCACCTGGATTACCATCTGGGCGGCTCTGCCTGCCAGTGTGAATTAGAACAAAGACTTTCTCCTTAACATGCTCAAGCTCTGGTGGCCTAGTGGTAAGGAACTGTGCTGCCAAGCCAAAGGTACACATTTCAAATCCACTAGCTGCTTTGAAGGGAACAGACAGACAATCTTCTCCTGTGCAATTTACTGCCTCTGAAAACCTGATGGAGGGCCAGCTATGGGTTCTGACTTGACAGTCCCTAACAACAATATGCTAGAAGCTTTTGCTAAAACAAGAGGATATATGTAAACAGAGTCTTCAAATAGGGAACCTGATTGCGAGAATGAGGAGGTCTGAGAACCCAGAAGAAGTTTCAAGGCTGGCCTCTTCTCTTTCACTCAAGGAGATGAACTTGTGCATGACCCAGGGAGGCTGACTGTGGGATTTCACCTTGCATAGCTGGGGACTATTTCAACCTCACCGAGGACTCTTCGCTCACTCCATCCTTGACAGAAGCAGAAGCCATGATCCTCAACTGTCTTCCACAAAGCCAGGAAGGGAAGCTGGTGTGGAGGAGTCATTTCTGGATTTGTCCAGGCAAGCCAAAGCAAACATATATGTATGGAGCATGAAGACAAGACTGGATGTGGGAGAGCTAGGGGTGAAGGAGAGATCTGGTGGCAGATACCAGCTACACGCCAACAGCCCATCTAGTCAGAACCTGGTAGGTTCTCAGAAGAGTGGCAGGTGCTGAGAGGTCAACAGTAACCTTCCCAAGTAGACTCTGATTCCGCTAACCTTTTCTCTTTGGCCATCTTGTGTTAAAAACAGAAGTCTCTCCCTAGCAAAGAGACTACTTACTGTAGCCAAGGTGCATCAGAAAAAAGGAATCAAAGTGTGATTTCCTAGGTGAGAAGCTCCTTCTACCCCATCAGCCAAGACAAGGGGGGAAGCCCCATTCCCCAAAAGTTTGCATAACTCCATCCAAAGGTAGAGCTTTGGTTAAATCCAGCACATCAGACTCTAATTCCTATGTTTTCTTCCCCTCTTTTAAGTACAAATCCTTACCTCGGCGAGGCTGAGCGTGGGTAGGTCGTGGCCAGCTGGCCGTGCATGTTGCTGCTGAGTAGTCAATGTGATCTGGGGTGTGATCCGGGCCCATGGCTTGTCCAGCCCTCCTTCTCTGCTTCTGTGCTGCCCCTCTGGCCCCCTCCTTGCTCTTTGATCTCAAGATGATCTGCCAATCAAATGTTCCCCAAATGAAAGACATGATCACTCTACAGCAGGAGCACATTGAAAGATCCCACCCAAGATCTCTTGCTGGTCATAGTGGGAGGCTAAGCTCATGCCTGACACCAGTGTGGGGCCCGCAGAATTACTGATAGTTGACTTTGACAATGGGCTACTGGTTGTCTGAGTTGGAATTTGAGGGCAGAGCTAATAAAAGAGGCATCTAAAGGAGCTTTATCCTTTAGCAAACTCTGACAGAGTAACTCCTCATTCTGTAGCCCGGAGTTTCTCAGAGGTTGGTTCACAGAACCCCTGCACCAGCATCAGATGGAAGTGTCTGGTTAAAATGCAGATTCCTGGGCCTTGCTCCAAACACATTGAATCTGAGTCTCTGGGAGTGGGGCTCAACACAGTCTACATTTTAAACAAGCTCTCCAGATGGTCCCCGTGCAGGCTTGAGAGCCCCTGCTGCAAAGTCACCACAGGACTTCAGGCATGTGCTACTGAGCCAGAGACCAGATGCCGGTATCTGGGAAGGGAGGATGTTGCTGTGGGTGATCACGTCCTTGTCAGTTGATTTCACGTGTGTGTGTGGTGGTGGGGTGAGGCGAGCAGGGAGGAGCACACGGTGAGGTGCATGCCCGCTGCGTCTTCACCAGGCATCATACTTTCTGTGGCGCTGGCCGGTGTTCTTGGCATCTGTATTGTCCTGGGAGTGTCCATTTGGCTTTTCAGAAGGAGGAAGAGGTAAGCTTTTTTCTCTTTTATTATTATTATTATTTATTATTATTATTATTATTTTAAAAATTAGTATGATGGTTTCTATGGCCATAAGAATTAGTATGTCTGAAATGGCAGCCTTTCAAGACCCCCTGTCCTCCCCACCAGTGTTTATGCCGGCAGTGCTGCCCCCAGAACACTGGTGCCGGGCTCACTGTTGCATGAGCTATTGGTTGTCTGGATGGTGTGCCCGGCTTTGAGGTCATTGCTAATTAGCTGTGTGGCCTTGAACTAGCCTCTTGATTTGGGAGAAGTCCCATTTTCAGAAACACATTAAGTCTGTTTTCTTATTATACTGGTTTTGTTCGAATCTAAGAAGGAAAACCCGATCCCCTGCTCATATTGTCAATTGGTGCCCTTTGTTTCTATCTTCATGTTTGGGTTTTTCTTAAAGCTAATCTGTGATCCTGGGTGTGAGAAAAGGGATCCAGGTGGTGCCCTGAGAGGGAGCGATATGTTCTTTACAGTCTGTGCTGTAAAGATTTACCATCTTGGGGACCCCACGGAGCAGGTCTGCTCTGTCCTACAGCTTCCCTATGCGGGGCAGCTGACTCGGTGGGTGGGTGGGTGGGTGGGTGGTGTGGAATTAAAGGTTACCAGGAACCCAGTTATCAAAAGTTGTTAAGGATGGGACTCTGAGATAGTTTTCCAAAACATAGATCTGGACTTGTCAGATGTAAAAAGACAACAGTTGGCACATGAATAGGTTCTGTTTGGGGGACATTCTCCCCAAGGACCAACAGAATAGTGCAAAGGTCTTCAGAAGAGGAAACGGGTTTCTAAATCATGTCTCGCTCTGTAGCTGAGTCAGGCTTCTCCCTGACTCTCACTCTCCTCTTTGCCTAATGAATAAGACTTGTGCCCTCTTGTTCCAGCAGCAAAAAAGGAGACAGCAACAAGGGTGTCATTTACAAACCAGGCATCAAGATGGAAACGGAGGCCCACGTCTGAGGTCCCTGGACTTCTGCGCATCCACGGGAGGACTTTGCACTGGATGCTACACACTTTGGCTCTGGACACTTGAAACACCTGGGTGAAGTCTAAAGCTCAACACATAAGTTCCTCTGACACCAGGGGCCTCCAATTGGATGTCCCAGCATCACTATTGCGGTGATGAATGGATGAGAAAAGTTCTCAGATGAGGAGGCAGCATCTCTGACCTATATGCCATATCTGTGTGGGCTCATTACTCATTCACTCATTGTCGTCAAGATAGAACAGACTCGTAGCTGACCCTCCACTGAGTTTGGAGGCTGTAAATCTCATGGGAAAAGACTGCCCATCTTTCTCCCCAAGAACCACGGATGGATTCAAATCACCAGAGAGATGTGGCCTTTGGGTTAGCAGCGCAACTCCCTACAGACTGAGCTTACGTGATCTGTGTTCTGGGGTCCCAGGTCAAGGTGGGCTGTTACTGGTTGGAAAACACGGCCTGCTTGAGTGTGATTTCAAGAGTCCTGCAAATTCTGCTTTTGCTCTCCACGCTTTCCAGAATGTGTGCTCTCTGCTTAGGTTTCGCTTTTGAGACTCAGTGTCTTTCCTCAGGGAGGGGCTGTCTTCCTGTGATTTTCTTCTGTAGCCACAAGCCTTTACACCACTGAGGGAAGAATTGCTGCCAGGGCCCATGGTCAGAGGTGAGAAAAAAACAAAAGGTACACTTGGCAATACACCAGGACATTTTCAAAGTCCTTTGGGTCAGGCACACTGAATAGACCCTGTTGTTGTTGTTGATTGCCATTGAGTTGAGCATGACTCATAATGACCCTGTGAACAAAAGGCCTGAAGCCTTTCTCTAAATAGCGACATTTATCGAAGTTCATAGAGTTTCCAGGGGCTTGGACTCTAGAGAAAGGCTATTTAAAAGTTTCACTTCTTAGTGAGAATGGAAATAAAGAACAGGGAAAATACAGATGAGCTGGGCAGACCTTCCTTCCCTCTCCAACAGATTTTTGTATTTTGTGCTTGTCATTTGCCAAGCACAAGTGTGAGAAAGTCAGAATGCTAACCCAGCCTACCGTCAGCGGGGCAGTTCTGGTTTGTCCTCCATGGAGTTTAGGAATAATTAGGCTGTTCCTTGGGAATGTGTTTCTACTTTCTCTGTCCCAGGATAGGAGTGATCCGGACAGCTTCGGAAGAGAGAGGAAATCAGTAGAAGCAAAATGATGATAGAAGTTTGTTTCATTTTCCACAATCCCATTTCCACCCTCCTCCATGGTGGCCCCTCAGCCTGGATTTGGGCTTCCTGCCTCTCTGGCTTTGAGGATATTGTGTTGTGCTTATTTAAAATACAGGGTCAAGCTAGGAAAGCAGGAAGTTATCTACACAAGGCAGGCATCTCTGCAGCATTTATGAGTTAATAATAAAGAGTTCTGGTGGCACAGTGGTTACGTATTCAACTGTAACTGGAAGGTTGCCAGTTCGAATCCACTAGCCATTCTTTAGGAGAAAGATGAAATGATCTGTTTTCCATAAGGATTACAGACACAGAACCCCTCTGGGGCAGCTCTACTCGGCCCTCATAGGGAGGAGCATTATGAGTCAGAAGTGACTTGACAATGATGAGTTAAATCACAGAATGTTACAAAAATAATGCTTCATGCTTTCCCTCCATTTACCAAGAGTTTCTAAGAAGAGTTCACTTCTTCATATTCTCCTGTAGATGTGAGAGCCTTCTGGAGATCAGATAGTCTCATCCGATCTCATTTTGACAGCATCAAATGTCCTCTTGAAACACAGGTTTCTTGACAGCACCCTTTTCCTTCCTCTCCTTCCCCTGTCCCAGCCTTCCACAGCAATGGCAAGCTAGGCACCATTACACATGGCCCAGTACAGGACATGGATGTTTTGTGGGTAGTGGCCCTCTGTCAACCTTGAGGTGGGGGTGACATCCCAGCCCTGCCATTAGCATGTCCGGGGCATCATCAGGCAGACAGCAGGAACTCCCCTCTGGACAGGGCAGTATGAACTAAGTGACGATTTCTTGATCCTGAGCTGATTTGCCAATCAGGAGCAAATGCACCACTGCAGAGCAGTGGCAATGTCCTTCAGAGAGCTCTCTGAGTATCGCATGGATGAGTTTTAGGAACAGAGAGATCACTGTACCTAGCACACAGGCTGTTCCTAAGAAGGCAGACCGACCAGGTAGTGGACACAGTGCCATTTCTCCTCCCCTCTTCTCCCCCCTTGAATCAGCACAGCACCTGCTCACAGCCCTCCAGGCTGAGACAAAACCAACCCAGGGAGGCAGAAAGAATGTTCCAATAATCAACACTGTCAACTTCTCCACAGGATTCCTGAGTCCTCTGACTCTGAACTTGGGAAGCTTTCCTTCAGGTTCTCATTCATCTCTGATAGTGGCACTGTGGTGCCCAAGCTCATCACTTCTCATGAATTCTTTTTCTTGCTGGAACGGGGAATGGCTGGAAAGACCTGGACACTGTACCAGGCACCGGGTGGGGAGAGAGAGGAAAAGATGAAGGTCTGACTTTAGTCACTTCTGTGCCTCTCACTACTGGGGGATCTCAAGTTGCTTTGTTCTATTTCTTTAATATTATCTAGTAAAAATAGTAAAAACCTGCATCTTTTTCTTGCACAGCCCTCCTCCAATTCCACTGCATTATTGACACTATTCTCTCATTTCAAGTTCAGACTCACATCCCTCTCACCATCACTTCCTGACCAGCTCTTGTGAGCAACAACACTGCAGGGGCCTGGGCTGCAGCACCCACCCCCTCATTTCCATATCAGATCATAGGCCATTGTGCCAACGTCCATCGAACACGTCTGTATTTATTGTAAGAATGTTTGTAATGAAGATGTACACTGTATATATGGGAAATTTTAAATAAAATGCTTTTTCACTGTTGACTGAGTTTTTGGAGGTGAGGTTAGTGTTTGTATTGGCAAAGCACAGTGAAGGCCTTTATCTACAGTGTTAGGTCACTAATCAGGATGAAAAAAGAGAAGAGCTTATCAATAGCTAATATTCACATGAAGGTCGTAGAATCCCCTTCAAAGGATAATAAAATGATGTACTTAAGATCCTTGCATAGCACAAATGCTTATATTTGATCACTAACATATAAAATAGTGAAACTTGGCCTCACATACTTTGGGCATGTTGTTAGGAAGAACCAGTCCTTGGGAAGGTGTAGTGAAGGAGGGGAAGACCCTCAACAACATACACTGATACAGTGACTATAACAATGGGCTCAAGTGTGTCAGAGATGGTCAGGTTGGCATAGGATAGGGCAGGGTTCAGAGCCATTGTTCATAAGAACACAATGAATTGCAGTCAAGTTGAGTTGACTACACTTACCAACAAGCAGCACAGTGGATTAAGTGTTGGTCTGTTAACCAAAAGATCAGCAGTTCAAAACCACGAGCTGCTCATTGGGAGAAAGACGAAGCAGTTTCCTGTCATAGGGATTCACAGCCTTGAAAACTATGGGCCAGTTCTACTCTGTCCTATAGGGCTGCTGTGAATTGGAATCATGAACACAGGGTGTTTGGGTTACTAACATTAAGATGGGCAATTTTAACCCACCCAGCCATGCCACGGAAGAAAAGCCTGGAGATCTGCTTTGATAAAGATGACAGCCAAGAAAACCTAGGGAACAAAGTTCTTTATGTAACACATGGTGTGACCACGAGTCAGGACCGATGTGACGGCAATTGGGTTGGGCTGTTTTCTTTTTAACATAATCACTTTACCAAGGATGGGAGACTATGGTGTGCATAGCTATGTTCATAAGGCTTGTTAGCTAGTGGGGCTAGGAGGTCTATAGCAATCTGCAAAAGGCTCCAGGGGGAGGCAGGACCTGTGCTTGGCCTTAGAGAGTAATAAGTCAGATCTGACAGATGCAAGTGAAGTGGAAGATGTTCCTCACCAAAGTGCTGTGAACACAGGGAACAGATCTTAAGTCTCACTTCACTCCTAAGTGCCTAGCATTGCAACCAGTAGGTGAATAGTATTTAAGTTCTGTTTACCTTATTTTAGATCCTCTTGGGAGAGGTGACTTTGTGGTGCAGTGGGTTAAGTGCTGGGTTGCTAACTTAAAGGTCAGGGATTCGAAGCCAGGGGCTGCTTCTTGGGAGAAGGAGACGGCAGTCTGCATCTGTGAAAGATGACGGACAGCCTTGGAGACCCTCCGGGATCAGATTCTCTTGCCTCCAGGGTCCCTGGGAGCTGGTATCAGCTTGATAGAAGTGGGGTTTCTGGGTTTTGGCAAATATGCTTTCACCTGCTATTTGATTTTTTTTCCCTTCTCCATCCAGAGTTCACATTTCACTTTGCTAAATGAGAGGTAGCCCTGTAAATGCTCCAAATAGGCAACGTCATGGTTTGCAGGATTTAATTAGAAATGCTTCCAATTTTCATTTCAACTGGAAAATGGGACTGAGCTAGGTGGACTGAGTAAGGGGAGTTTTGTCCGAGTAGGTGACATAGCAGCTGGCCGAGCGGTGGAAGAAGCGTGTCACAGAGCCCTCCAGGTTCTGAATTCCTCCTCCTCCCTTTGCCGGCCTTCCAGGTGTCAGAACCATCAGCAACCATGAGGGCAGGTGAGGAGGGAGATACAGTACCGAGGACAGGTAGAATGAAGCTCAAGCTTCCATGTTACAATCTTCTTGGATTTGCTCTCATTCCACCTGTTAAGAGTGGGAAGGAATAGGCAACGAGGAGGTAAAATTATCCCTCTATGCTGATGACATGATAGTATACTTAGAAAACCCTAAAGACTCAGCAAGAAAACTATTGGACGTAGTT